GCAGAGGCCGGCATGATGAGATTGCTGGCTGGGCCATGAGCCAAGGAATGCAGGCAGCCTTCAGTAGCTGGACAAGGCAGGAAAAAAGAATCTCCTCTAGAGCCTCCAGAAGGCATGCTGCCCTGCAGATTCATTTTTTACTTTGAAACTGTAAGAGAGTAAATGTGTGTTGCTTTAAGTCACTGAGTTTGTGATAATTTGTCAAAGAAGTAATAAAAAATGAATTTGGGTGGAAAACCAAAAGGGTATGTGTCCAGCAGCCAGGTGAAGTAAGTGTATTGGGGTGGAGGGGGGTGATCAATGGCGTCACCTGTTGCTGCCAGGCTATGTAAGATAAGGTGAGCACTAACCACAAGGTGCAGGAAGGCGAAGGTTCTGGTAACGCCAGCAAGGGCTGTTTCAGTGGTGTGGTGGGTTTCAGAGTGCATGGGGTTCTTGTCACCTGTCTACATAAATGAGGACTACACATGGACCAATGCAGTGGGCCAGAGTGTAGAAGCCCCAGCAGGTGATGGAGGACAGTGACTGTTGATTGGTCAGGCAGGCTCTCTGGGATGCCCCCTTAGAGCCAAGCGATCTCAACCCCATCAGTGAGGCGACTTCTCAGCTCCACTCTGCTCAGAAGGTGGTGGCAGTTCAGCAAATTCCCCAAGCATCAGTTTTTATCAGACTGGTTTTCCAAGACAGGCTGAGCTCAAGATGTTCTAGGATCTGGATGGGGTGGGAACCCCGAGTCTTCCTGCACTTAGAGCTCCTCCTTATTGCCCATCCCCATTTAATAATTCAAGCCCCGAAGCTCTGAATGGCCAGAACCCAAAGCCTTGCAGACCCATGTGTGGCTGAATCTGTAGACTCCCCAGCCACTTGAGACAGAGATGCACCCTGTGGAATTAGAACATGGCATGGAGACCTTCAGACATCTAGGTTACCCCAACAATAGTGGCTGGGGATTCAGGCTTGCCTCTCTCCAGGGTCTTCTCAAACAGAGGGCATGGTCGGCTGGCATGGTCAGATATCTGCCCACAGGAGGAACTTTCCAGGATTGGGGGACATGGGGGACTATGAGCCACCCTCCAACAGTTATCATCCCTCTGGGTGGCAGGTTTGGGGTTCAGGAAGAACCCCAGTTCTTCCATATTCACTTTATTTATTCATTGAGACACGGTCTCCTCTGTCACTCGGGCTGGAGTGCAGTGGCATGATCACAGCTCATTGCAGGCTCAACTTCCCGGACTCAGGTGATCCTCTCACCTCAGCCTCGCAAGTAGCTGGGACCACAGGTGCAGGCCATCACGCCCAGCTAATTTTTGTAGAGACAGGGTTTCACCATGTTGCCCGGGCTGGTCTCAAACTCTGGGCTTTAGTGATCCACCTACCTCAGCCTCCCAAAGTGCTGGGATTACAGACATAAGCCACTGTGCCTGGCCCCCATTCACTTTAAAGTGCATGTACAACTTTTGATCTTGCTGTTATTATCGCCAAGCATGAGAAAAATAAAGTGGATCAATTTAAAGATAAATATTAAATATGATAGTTCAAGTGGTACACCAAACTGGTGAAAGGTGAAAGACTTATATGAGAAACCAGAGTATAGTACACCAAACTGGGGGAAAAAGCCCTGGGCTGGTGATTCACGGATGCCCAGAGTCTGGGAAATAGTATAGCCTGGGAAGGAGATTTAGACCTACAGTCTTTTCCTTGTCTATTTCTTTGGTGAAAAATGCCAGTCGCAGCTCAATAAATGAACTTTATACTCTGCTAACATGTGGCTGCAACTGGAAAAGCACTGCTCTGGCTTGAGCTTGGGGTGAGGCTCTTGACCCCACCACCCCGAGGACTTCCCTGCTCAGCCATGGCTCTGTCACCTGCTGAAGGTGGGCAGCTCGGCTTCCCATTGTCCAAGGCCGTGGCAGACAGCATGTTGGCTCAAACAAGTTGGACTTGTTTTGTGAATGGCCTTCGTGTGAGTGTGAATGTATGTACAGAGAAGGAGTGCAGCAGAGTTGGGTGCAGGGGGAACAAACAGGGTCAGGCCTTCTCCCTGGAGGAAGGGCCAGGATACTCCCATCCAAGGGCTAAGCCAGCAGGACAAGCCCCTAGGAAGGGCACCATTCAGAAAGGAGCTCCGAACAACAGCGCTGGTTCATAGCACTTGCCTTCCCCAGCAAAACCCTTCTGCTCCTCCAGAGACAGGGGTGGGGCTCCAACCACAGGGGTGTCAGCATCCCTGGTCCAGCAGGAGAGGAGAGAAGTGCAAACGGCAGCTTGGGGCTCGCTAGAAGGGCTTACCTAGCAAGATGAATAGAAATGGTCTCCATCCAGGCATTTCTTTGAAAGGATACCCCACACCCAGGTTTCTCCCTTGACACCTTTACCACAAGGTTTTTTGTTTTTTTTTTTTTGAAACAGGGTCTTGCTCTGTCACCTAGGCTGGAGTATGGTGGCATGATCTGGCTCACTGCCACTTCCACCTCCCCAGCTCCAGCGATCCTCCCACCTCAGCCTCCTGAGTAGCTGGGACTGCAGGCACGAGCCACCACACACAGCTAATTTTTCGTAGAGACAGGGTTTCGCCATGTTGCCTAGGTTGGTCTCAAACTCCTGGACTCAAGTGATTCACCCACCTCGGCCTCCTCCTGCCTTAGCTTCCCAAGTAGCTGGGATTACAGGCATGCACCACCACACCTAGCTAATTTTTGTATTTTTAGCAGAGATAAGATTTTGCCATGTTGCCCACGCTGATCTTGAACTCCTGACCTCAAGTGATCTATCTGCCTCAGCCTCCCAAGTGGCTGGGAGTCCACCACCATGCCATGCCACGCCTGGCTAATTTTTTTGTATTTTTAGTAGAGACTGGGTGTCACCATGTTGGCCAGGCTGGTCTCAAACCCCTAACTTCAAGTGATCTGCCTGCCTCGGCCTCCCAAAGTGCTGGGATTGTAGGTGTGAGCCATCACGCCCAGCCTCCCGCACTCAGTTTTTCTTGTATCTTCTCCAAAACCCTTCAGCATGCCCCAACACCAAACACCAACTTCTAAGATTAAACTGGACTCCCACAGCAGATTGCTGAGTCCAGCGTATTGTTTAGAGAATCTCCCAGATTCATCCCCCTTTTCCCTGTGGCCACAGTCACTGAGTGGCAGTCACACAGTAGCATTCTGCCTGATCTCCTCACGCCCACTTATGTTTTCTCTGTTCCTTCTTGACACTGCAGCCAGGGTCTTCTTCCAAAGATGCAGATCTGACCATGAACTCCACTTGAATCTCTTCCATGACTTCCAATTTTTTTGAGCTGGAGTCTCGCTCTGTCGCCCAGGCTGGAATGCAGTGGCTCAAACTCAGCTCACTGCAACCTCCGCTTCCCAGGCTCACCTGGCTTCCCATTTTTGTTAGTCAAGCCACAAATCCTGATCACACCTACGAAGCCCTGTGTGATGTGGCCCCAGCTGACTTTGGCCTCCCCCGACACCCTTGTCCTTGCCCATCAGCCTCTGGCCACATTGGTTTTATCTCCGATCTTTTACTATGTCAAGCTCTTCCTGCCAGAGCCTTCACATGTACTGTCCCCTTTGCCTGAAATATTCTTCCTGCTACATGTCACCTGGCTAAGCCCAGTCTATCAATCAGCTCTCAGCACCAGTGTCACTGTCTCAAGAAGGCTCTCTATGCTCCTCCACTCTAGACCCATATTCTGATAGCACCATTAATTAAGCAACTATTATATGATCTGTGTGTTCCCTCTCCTTCCTCATTATCCTGTTAGCTCCATGAAGACAAGAACCAAATTATTTTGTTCATTGATGCCTCACCATGCCCAGCACAGTGCTATCAACCCATTAAGGAACCTGTTACATGATTACATAAATGAACGAGAAATTAGGTAGGATGGTCCAATGAAAAGCCACCTGAAACAGTGAGTGCTAAGTCCTTTCAACCACAGATTTAAGAGTACTGGCTGGGTTCATCTTGAAAGCAAGAGCTAGAAGCAGGGACAGCTGTTGCTTTTCAGGAGTCCCCCTTATCCATGGTTTCACTTTCCATGGTTTCAGTAACCCATGGTCAACCTGGGTCCAAAAATATAATTAAATGGAAAATTCCAGAAATAATTCATATGTTTTAAATTAGTTCTCAATAGTAGCCAATGCCACATCACCATACCCATCATTTACCTCACTCCAATACATCACAGAGGCATCTTATCATCTTTTTTTTTTTTTTGAGATGGGGGTCTTACTCTGTTGCTTAGGCTGGAGTTTACTGGCACAATCACGGCTCACTGCAACCCCCACCTCTCAGGTGATCCTCCCACCTTAGCCTCCCAAGTAGCTAGAATTATAGATGCATGCCACCATACCTGGCTAATTTTGGTATTTTTTGTAGAGACAAGGTCTCCCTATGTTGCCCAGGCTGGTTTTGAACTCCTGGGCTCAAGTGATCCTCCCATCTTGGCCTTCTTACATCATCGCAAGAAGTGTGAGCACAGTACAATAAGAGGTTTTGAGAGAAAAGGACCACATTCACATAGCTCTTATTACAGTCTATTGTTATAATTGTTCTATTTTATTATTGTTTTCGTTAGTCTCTTCCTTCTGTTCATAATTTATAAATTTAACTTTATCATAGGTATGTATCTCTGGGAAAAAACATAGCATATATAGGGTTTGGTACTATCCGTGGTTTTAGGCATCCACCAAGGGTCTTGGAATGTATCCCCTTAGACAAAGGGGAACTTCTGTATATCTAAGCATGATGGCCCCATAGTCACCAGTCCCAGAGCCTGGGGAACACTCAGAGACTCGGTTTGCCTCTGGCCTGAGCCTACCTGGAATCCTGTGGACTAGGTCTGTCTCCCCAACCCAAAGATTTTGGGGATGGAGCCAGCATTGATTTTGGAGTCAGATTCATGTGGCTTTCCCACTGTTTTGCTATTTGACCTCAGGCTCATTCATCAGAGCCTCCTTGAGCCTCAGATGCCATATTCTGAAATGGGAATAACAGAACTTGCCCCAGGTTTAGTTAAGGACTTAAATACCACCATGAGCTGGTACTGCATAGTAGCGTGCAGCTCAGCCCACAGTCTGGTTCAAAGTGCCAGTCGCTTTTCCTTAGCAAAACCGGCTCATGCCTTTCATTTCAGTCTTCTGGACTCCCAAGCCAGCGTGTAGGACAGTATATAAGAGGAGTTCTGAGGGGCTGGAGGACACAGTCCACCCCAGACACGGCCCAGGCCTCTTTACCCACCCACGGGAGCCTTGCTGCAAGGCTAGGGGGGCACCAGGAAACCCAAGCTGGTGAGAAGAGCCACTGATCCGTGCCTCTTTGAAGCAGAAGTTAGGTGGGATGGAGAGGTGGGGACAGGTGAGCCCATTGTCCAAACAGAAAGGGAGAGTGGTTGCAAAGAGGGAGAGGTCGACAAGGGAAGAAGAAGGAAAAACGGGGCATGTTGGGGGCTGCGGCCAGAACGGGAACCCAGGTTGTTGGAGGGCAGGGGTGGCAGAAAGAAGAACACGCTGGGAGGAGGGGTGCCGGGGAAGTCGGAGAGCTAGCACGGAGGCGGGCCAGGCGGTAAGAATGGAAGGAAGAGCAAGTTCCTGGAGAGAGGACGGAGGGAGGGGTTGTGGGGACGGCAGCGACCTGTTGCCTAAAAAGAAGACAGGGAAAGCGAGGGAAGGGAGGGCAGAGGCTGTCACCTTGGGTTCTCCTAGAGGGCAGGTGAACGGGCGCGCCCGGGAGAGGAGGGCTGGGTTTGGGTGGGGTGGGGTGGAGGACCCGGCCCGACTGTACCTGCGGGTCCCCGCGCAGCTCGCCCACGTAGTACTGCTCCAGCCAGCGGCGCGCGTTGGCCGAGTGCCTGTGCGGCGGCCCGTCCAGGTCGGCGCTGATGTCCTGGCCCGCCCTGGCCCGCAGCAGCTGCTCGCCCCCCGGGTGGTGCCGCACGAAGCTGGAGAGGTCGTAGAGACGGGCACCGCGGCGGACCCAGCACGCGCCGGCCGCCAGGCGCCGCTGGACCTCGGAGGGCGAGAAGGAGGCGGCGGGGGGCGGAGCGGGGGCCATGGCCGGAGACCGCAGCTCCCAGCGCGCAGCCGGGCGTCTGTTCGGCGGCCGCCCTGCGCGCCTCTAACATCCCGGGAGCCCGGAGGCCGCTCCGGGCGGGCCGCCACCGCACCTGCTCATTTGCATGCCGCGCTCCCATTGGCCGGCAGGGAGCCCCGGCATTGCCGCGAGGGGCGGGCCCGGCGGCGGGAACGGTGCACCAGGTGGCCCCGGGCGGGGAGAGGCCCGCCCGCCAGGTGTGTCCTGCTAGGAAGGAGGGCGGGCGGACGCGGGCGGAGCAAGTCTTCAGGTCGCGGGTGGCTGTCTGGGCGGACATCCTCGGTGGCCTGATTGCCTCTGGAATAACTTCAACTGCTTCCAGGGTGGAGCGGCCGCGTGGGACCCCCTGGCTCCAGGAGGTGCCCGAGAGAGCGAGAGGCTAGTGAGACACTCGCCTTGGGTGCAAATATTTGTTTTGTTTTGTATTTTAATATTTTAAAATTTTCAGTAGCTTTTAGGGTACCAGTGGTTTTTGGTTACATGGAGGAATTGTATAGTGGTGAATCCTGACATTTTAGTGCATCTGACCCAATGTGTAGGATTTTTTCGTTTGATTGTTTTTTTTGGTTTTGTTTCGTCTCAGCACCCCTCTCATTCTTCCCACTGTCCATTTTATCACTTTATGCCTTTGCGTCCTCGCAGCTTAGCTCCCACTTATAAGTGAGAACATACAGCGTTTGGCTTTCCATTCTTGAGTCACTTCAATTAGGATAATGGCCTCCAGCTCCCTGAAAGTTGCTGCAAAAGACACTATTTCATTCCTTTTTATGGCTGAGTAGTATTCCATGATGTGTATCAACTACATTTTCTTTATCCACTCATTGGTTGATGGGTACTTAGGTTGGTTCCGTATCTTTGCAGTTGTCAGTTGGGCTGCAAAAAACAAACATAGGTGTGCAAGTGTCTTTTTCATATAGTGCCTATTTTCCTTTGGGTAGATACCCAGTGGTGGGATTCCTGGATCAAATGGCAAATCTACTTTTAGATTAGTGTAAATTTTGCACTTTGGGCTAGTGCCTTGCTCTTTTCTTCTCTTGCTTTTCTTCTCTCTCTTCCCCCCCCCCCCCCACATAGGGTCTCACTCTGTGACCCAGGCTGGAGAGAAGTGGCACGATCTTGGTTCACTGCAGCCTCCACCTCCCGGGCTCAGCTCAAGCAATCCTCTTACCCACCCACCCCAGCCTCCCAAGTAGCTGGGACTACAGGCATGTGGGACCACGCCTGGCTAATTTTTGCATTTTTTGTAGAGACAGGTTTCACCATGCTGCTCAGGCTGGTCTCAAACTCCTGCGCTCAAGCGATTTGTCTGCCATGGCCTCTCATAGTGGGAGTTTTTCTTTCTTTCTTTCTTTTAAGACAGTCTTTTTTTTTTTTCAAGAGAATTAAATCGTTTATTGATTACACATGATAATGGATGATACACAAGCTTCATTCCCATCTATAATTTTATCTGGTACCATTATTCAATTTAGATATATTGCATAGGATGTGCCAACAATCATCTTTATAACCAATAATTCCATGATTTTTGCTTGGGTAATTCCTTTTAATCGTGAACTTCAGGTCACAGCAGTAACTATTAGTTCAACTACACCAAGGTTTCTGAAGACATTGGGCTTCTCCACCCAAGCATGTTGTATATAAATTCCAAATAGAACCTGGCATCACCCTGAAGAAATTCTAACTTCACACTGTTGGGGAAATTTACCAAGATGGCTTCAGAGTAGACTAACTTTACACAGCACATTAAAAAAAAAGACATTTATTCAGCGTCACGATCAGACTATTACATTTAGCAATCAACAGCATGGGTGCAAAAAAAAAAAAAAAAAGAAAAAGAAAAAATCTACATTAAAACCCTTTGTTGGAATGTTAAGACAGTCTTGATCTGTTGCCCAGGCTGGAGTGCAATGGTGAGATCTCAGCTCACTGCTACCTCCACCTCCTGGGTTCAAGAGATTCTCTTGCCTCAGCCTCTAGAGTATAGGTGTGCACCACCACGTCCAGCTAAATTTTGTATTTTTAGTAGAGTCGGAGTTTCAACATGTTGGCCAGGATGGTCTTGAACTCCTGGCCTGAAGAGATCCACCAGCTTCGGCCTCTCAAAGTGCTGGGATTACAGGCGTGAGCCACCGCGCCCAGCCCCAAAGTGTCCTTTTAGTTTGTTAAAGAGTCTCCTTACTGTTTTCCAACAGGTTGTACTAATTTACATTACCACTGCCAGTGTATAAGCATCCCCTTTTCACCACATCCACGCCAACATCTACTGTTTTTTGACTTTTTTATAATGAGGTAAACTTTAATGGGGCACCCCAGAACTCAGTCATCACTATATCTAATACCTGAATGTAATATTTTAAAAAATTATATTGTTGCACAATGTGAATGTTGTTAATGCCATTGAACTGTACACTCAAAATGGTTGAAATGGTAAATTTACATTATGTATATTTTACCCCAATACAAAATATTGAATGAAGAATGTTTTAAAAAATCGTATTGGCAAATTATGGGGGTTAGGGGTGGGGTTGGGGGCGTGGCATTGGCAACCTGTTTTTGTAAATAAAGTTTTATTGGAACTAGGGCCAGAGATTTATGAGACATGATGTGAAAGTGCAGCGTTAGCTCCTGTTTTTATTTAAAATTTTGATATTTTGTCCATCCAGGATATTTTTGTATTAATTTTGAAGTTTTAAAATACTGCATTTAGATATTATTTATCTTCATTACTGCTTCTTTGGGTTTTTTTTGTTTGTTTGTTTTTTGGAATGCCTGTAAATTTTGCACTTTGGGCTAGTGCCTCACTCCCTCACTCTAATCCTGAGCCCTGGGGAAGGACCTGAGGGGAGAACAGAGAATACTGTCTCCATTGCAGAAGGGGAAATAGGGACCCACAGGAGTAAAGCCTGGGGGTGATGCTGCGTGGAAAGGAGAACCAAGTTTGTTCATCACAATTTTATTTGGAATAGGAAAAACTTGGCTGGACGTGGTAGCTCACTCGTGTAATCCCAACACTTTGGGAGGCCAAAGCAGGAGGATTGCTTGAGCTCAGGATTTCAAGACCAGCCTGGGCAACACAGCAAGACCTTGTCTCTACAAAAAAAAAATTTTAAATTGAGGCCAGGTGTGGTGGCTCATGCCTATAATCCTAGCACTTTGGGAGGCCGAGGCAGGTGGATTGCCTGAGGTCAGGAGTTCAAGACCAGCCTGGCCAACATGGTGAAACCCCCATCTCTACTAAAAATATAAAAAAATTAGCCAGGCACAGTGACACTCCCCTGTAGTCCCAGCTACTTGGGAGGCTGAGGCTAGAGAATCACTTGAACCCAAGTGTCAGATGTTGCAGTGAGCAGAGATTGCACCACTGCACTCCAGCCTGGGCAACAGAGACTCCATCTCAAAAATAATTAAATAAATAAATAATTTTATAAAGTAGCCAGTTGTGGTGACATGGGCCTGTAGTCCCAGCTACTGGGGACGTGGAGGCAAGAGGATCTCTTGAGCCCAGAAGTTCGAGGCTGCAGTGTCCTCTGACTGCACCACTGCACTCCAGCCTGTAAACAGAACAAGCCCCATCTCTTAAAAACCAAAAAGCAGGGGAAAACTGCACACAGTTTTACTTGCCCAGCCACAGGGGATCCCACTTGAACTCATGATTTGTAATCAAATGCTCTTGGTACAGAGGCTAGCCCATCCAGCTCGCTTTTGTCTCTTTCAGGAAAGATATTTTAAAGATCAACCCCATTTGTGCCCTTCTGGGGCCAGGCATCTGTGCTGGGCCAGTCCAAGTTTGGGAAGCCTGGCCCAGATGCCTCAGGGGCCATCCCAGGTCAGAAGAGCCGCCCCTCTCCCCTCTCCCTTCTCTCCAGGCTGATCCTCAGGGAGTAGGTGAGAGTTCTGCTATCTGTGGGTCTATGGAGCAGCTGCCCATCAGGCCTGGAGGCCTTACATCACCAGAGTTTTTCCTTTTCTCAAGTGGTGAATGCATAAGTAGTCACCCTTACCCAACTTCCACACCTACTCTGCTCCAGATCCCCTGCATGTGCCAAAGCAGCCAAGCACACACTCACAGGTGTGCTCAGGTACTTCTTGCTGACAATATCTATGGGCACTCCCATTTGGATTTCTCACCATGGCTATAAACTCCCAGTGTTTGAAACTGAACAAACAATGTGGCCATCTATTCAGAATTGTAACACTCACACTTCTTGACCTAGTTATTCCACTTCTAGAAATTTAATCTTACAGATAAACTATATCAAGAT